CCAAACCATTCTGTGACTTCTATGAATAAGGCAGGTACAAAATGGTCAAGTCGGCAAAGCAGGGAGGTGTTTACTCTTTTAAATATTCTTTGACCTCTTGGTAAATTTGAGTCAACTGTCCAGTGAGTTGTGTTGGAGGTGATGTGGAAATGGATGATGAGTGTAGCTGTCGGTGGGTCTCTTAGCTGAGCCATTGGGACGTTTGCTTGGGCTGTGGGAGCTGGAGCCTGTGATCCCCATCGTGCAGGAGACGGCCTTGAGGTCCCCTCGCGAGGCGAAGGGTGTTTTGGATGGATTCCTCTGAACGTGTCCTGCTGATGCTGCTGTCTCCTGCACCGAGGCCCTCTGTTAGATCGGGGAGAGGAGTTGATGTGGCTTGAAACAGAGATAATTCAGCTTCTGGCTGGGTTACTGTGTTATTGAGTCATACCCATTGCTTCCCACCATCTTGCCGTGACCTTTGCAGTAGATTACGTGTAGTAGAACAACCTCAGCGGGCTACGAGCGTGCCTGTGGGCCAGCATCCCTGCAAGGACTCCAAAGAGGTGGTGAGCTTTCCAGGAGAGTCTGCCAAGCTGTAGAGGCAAACAGTGTCACAATGCTATCCCTGTCCTAAGGCGGTGGCATGAAGAGCTGCGGTGCACAAGCCGGCTCTCCGGAGAGGTGTGTTGGTTGTATGGATTGAGATCCCCCTCGGGCAGAGCTGGGGTTTGGATCCAGGTACTTCATATCCGGGGCGAGCGTTGCCGCTACTCGTCATCTGCAGCAGCCCGTCTCCTCCAGCTGCCGCCGGCTGGTGAATGGGGTCTGAGTCAGCCCCGGCCAACGGGTTTGTATTAAAAATGGCTGTAGTGAAGCAAGCCCATGACTTAAGCAGAACTAGCAAACCAACAGTTTTTGTATGTTATTTTGGGATAAATTAACATCTGGGATTTTTTTTTTTTGTGGTGGTGACTCTCGTGGGCTTTGGTTTCTTGGTCTGTCTGGGGTTTTTTGATTGTTTTAATGTATCCAGTGGAGTCATAAGAAACAATCCATGATCCTTGTGGATAAATTGCTGCAATAACATGCAGCCCTCTAGCCAGAACTAGTTGGACTCTGTTCTAACTCCCACTTTGTTTAACCAGGCACTGTGAATAGCCATAAAAATCGCTGTACTGCCAAGTCCTTTCCTTGTACGTACATACGCACACTCCCTGTGAGTGCCACTGGCTCTACGACTCTCCAGCTCTCTTCTCCTGTACAAGAGGAGTGCAATGTAGAAATGTCCTTTTGACATTTATATATACATGTTAAAAAATACTGGGAGATCAGTGTCAGGTGCAACCACAGTAGATAAATTTAGGTGAAACTCTGTGGAGCAATCAGACTTGTTTTATACTATGGAGTTTGTTTCTGGCTCAAGCTGGAGAGCTCTGGGCAATAAAATTGATGAAAGGCTTGTTGAGAAAAAGCTAGCCAAGGTGCATTTGCATGGAGAGGAGCATTACTCTAGTGATAAAGGGATGCTGTGATGAGACGACAGTCGTGAAGGTGCAGTCTTAAATGAGGATGAACAGTAGTGAAATCCAGTTGCGGCAGGAAGGATGCAGGTTGAGATTAGGGCAGTTGAAGAAATAGCCAAGGGAGGCTGCAAAACTCTAATTGCTTAGAGGAAAAAAAAATTTAGGATGAGGTCAGATGTCTACGTCAGCCTGAGAACTGGCTCAGGACTGGAAGGCTTCACCTCTGACATCTTCTAGCCCAGTGGTTTCATTGTTGTGTAGGCAGAGACTAGATCCAGCTTGGCAATGCTTCCTCTCGTTGGTTTGGATATCCTGTGTGTCATCCCTGCGCAGCATGAACAAGGCGTGGAAATTCCTTCTTTACAAGAAACATGTACAGTTACCGGTAATCCTAATAAAGAGGCATGCAGTGGGAATCACAGGCAAAGACAGATTAGCATGAGTCATGAAGAGACTCACTCGTGTTTATAAAAGCTCTGCAATAGAGGTGCTTCTGTTGTGCTGCATGTGTGTGGCTATAGTTTGGGGGTTTTAGCCATTTAGTCAGTTATTTTTAGTGACTTTGGGATCACTGGATATACTTTCCGCATGATTCTTTTTTTCCATTTTTCCTATGAAAATGAGATTTGATAGTCTAATGTAGACTATCTGATGTAGCTTAGCAACTTAGCACATCCCGAGCAGCTGGCTGCTGTTGATATTGCAGCAATGTGCTCTTATTTCTTGGCCAAAATTTTATCTGTGGAGTTGCATCATAGCAAGGTCTTTGTTTATGCGATAATTTAGATTGGTGTCTGTCTTTGCATGGGCTTCTAGCAGACAGCTTTGAGCCTAATCGGGTGTAAATCTGCATCCTTGAGCCTTGTCGGATGCTGGTAGTTTGATCATTGCAGTGCTTTTGTGGTTTTGGGCAAGTCCTGTTTTGGAAAGCTGAGGCATGGGCCACGTCCATGCTGGAAAGTGATACTCAGCTGAGAAGGATTTGGTCTTCTTTCAGGGAGATCGAACGAATGACTGCATGGTCATGAAGTTTGGGAGGTGGGGGGGCAAAACCTCCAAGCAGCAGAAGTCAGGTCTTTTGAGGGCTGAGGAAAGGCTATGCTTTGTTTTACTTTGTAGGAAGGCTTTCCCTATTTCAAAATGCCGTTTGAAATGTTGAAAAGTTCTGTTCCTTGGTTTCAGCTCAGGGCGTGTATTTGTTTTGTCTTAAAGCTAGTCACGTGCTTAAGGTTATGCTTAAACTTAATCCTGGTGACTAAAAATGGTCTTGGAGCCACGCGTGAGCATTTGGTGCAGAAGTGAAGTGCTGTCTGTTGGTGGCCCTGGTGCGTTCCTCTGTCCTGCCATGTTGGCCAGATGGCTCTGCCTTCCCAGGGACGGGAAAAGGAACAAATGCTTGGCCAGAAAGTGAGGAACAGACTTTTCATTAATACTTATAAACTGTAGATGAGTGTGACAATTACCACGTGAAAGAAAGAAGTCTCTTTTGTCCATGGTTATTAATCATTGGTATTATGCTATTCACACTTCATATCTGGATGACTTAAACATCAGAAAAATTATGACCATCATGGTCAAAGGGTATTTTGTGCACTAAGCATGATAAATAAACACCTCAAAAGAACCCAAAAAGCATCCAGTGGTATGGAAAACAAAACTCTGGACTAGGCTGGACGTGCTTGTTTCACTTTCTGTTCTGAAAACTGCTTTGTGGTTGTTGGCTTTGCTCTCTTGTTTTCCCCACCCCGTGGACATTGCCCCCGTGGTTGTCCCCTGTGTGCTCGGAAGGTCATTGCACAAGGCAGTTCCTAGCCTGTATGGTTGTCTGTTTTCTTGTTTTGTTTTTGTATTTTCCTCAGGAAAACCCAGATTGAAAACCTCGCAAAAGCATTTGTAAGGCAGAAACACGGGCGTCAGTAGTGCCAGCCGTTGGAAGAGGCAAGGGAATTCAGTGTAGGCTCTCAGGTCAGAGGACTGTAGGAAGGTTGCTGAGTAACCAGGTTCTCACTAATGGTATTAGAGGATCGGTAAACTTGTCGTTACAAGTACGTGCAGAAGTTTGGCAAGCCTTGTGGTGTTTGAGGTTTTCATTTAAAGCCTTTGATCCTGGAGGCAAATAGGTAAAGCAGTTTCAAGGGCTTGCGAAGTCTTAACTCCAGGATTGTGTAGAAAAGCCAGAAAGGCTGGAAAAAGGCTGAAGACCGACAAAACTCAAATAAAAGCATGTTGGGGTATCGCTTTGAATTCTCTCTTCTGTCCTACTCCCCCTAGCAGTGGGATTATTTTGGTGTTTGCAAACCTGGAGCTGCAGTGTTCTCAGTGGCGGGGCAGGATGATAGCCTGTGCCGACTGCTCAATCCCCAGGGCTCTTGCAAAACATTGCAATGGAAGTCAGGCCCTGCAAAACCATGAGATTGCTGTAAAAATCAGAGGATTTTAAAAGGGAGGTTTAAAAATAGGATAGGTGTTTTCTGTGGGAAACTGAATCACTAATGCAGTATGCTTCACTCTGCAGCTGCTGTGGCTGAAGTTCTGAGTTGGCTGGGAAGGTTGGTTGAGGGTCCCTGGGGTGCTCATCTGGACCAGGCTGGATGTTCAGGTGCTGAAGGGATGGCAGTCAGTTGGGCAGAGCCCGGGTGCCCTGCAGATGTCCGTTTGAGCCGTCTGTCCTCCTGTGCCTGCCTGGCACTGGGAATGGCTGCAGGGGCTCTCCCGGGTGCTGCGCTGCTGGGTGTGCTAGGGTAAATCGCTCAGTATCGGGGTTAAGGAGCAAGAGGGTTCCCAGCCTGGTGTATGGGCACAGCTTTGTCATGCTGCCCTGCGCGATGTCCCACTTGAGGAACAGACCTTTTTGAACAGAATGCGGGGCTCCCTTATTTCTACATCTCTTTTTTGTGTACATAATTTTTTTTTTTTCCATAAGCGCTAAAAGCACAAGTGCCATAGACACCGCAATTGAATTGGAGGTCTTGCTCTGCTGTTTGGCTGCTGAATAAACTTCATGAATTGAGTCGCGACTTCATGGGTGCCTTCAGAAATGAAGCAGCCTGTATGATGGGCATAACAGACCAAAACCCAAAATCAGGACAACAGAAATTTGAAAGGAATGGCTGAGCTATTTTTTAGATGTGAAACAAATAACACTGGTGAAGGTGAACTGGAGCAGAACCGGTCCAACACAAATTCCATGTATAGTTCTCTCTGGGCGCATGCAGCAAGTGGATTTCTGTGCTGGACTGGAAGAGCCGAGACATTTTCTGTCAGTCTGACACCGGAGACGTGGATGTGACTATTCCTTCTGACAATGTGGCATGTGTGGAGAGACTGGTGATGCTCATACATGCTGGTAACTAAACACCTCTGGTTTTTTTTTTTTTTCTTTCTTAGCTTCCTTTACGATCTCTCTTCGCACAGTGGACAACATCACAGTTATGATTAAACTGAGACCTGGTGTTTCACCAAGCTGTCAAATTCGTGTTAAAAATGTCATCAGGTCTGAACTGAAGATAAAGCCTGGGGAGAGCGTGACTTTTGCATTCACTTGTAGTACTCCAGAGAAGTATTTCGTCATGGAAATTCAGAAAAATATTGGTAAGATACAGGTTTTTAGTTTTTCCCCCAATGGTAATTTTCCTCCAGTAAAACCATATACCTCTTCATGTTACTGTATTAAGATATCCCCCATAATCTTGGGTAAGAAGAGATCTTTGAACACTGATAAATAACCTTGAATTACTGAAACTATGCAAGTTAAAGAACTTTATCATGGCTGGCAGAATTCGTGTTAACTTAGCTGTTTCAGAAACAGTTACATTATAGTTTGTTGCATCAATTCCTTGCTGCCTTCCCTTTTCCCACAGTTTATAAACCCATCAAAGAATCTTTTTTTCTTGTCAAAAGCCTCTGAGCACTGATAATGATGTATTACTCACATTATTTGTTGAACAGCTTGGTTGTGTCTATAAGGGCAACAGAAACATTGAAGACATGCACGTGTTTCCTTATACTTAATGAACATTATTCAAGTCAAGAAACTGAAAATTTGAAAGTGTTATAACTAAAGCTTTGTTTGCTTTGAATGTTATCCCTGGTGTATGTATGTTAATGTACTCTTTAATGGCATGAACATGTGCTACTTCTCTACAAGATCCCAAACTTCATTGGATGTTCAGGTTTTGGTAAGATCTTTGTTATTTTTGGGGTGGTGGTCAAGGGTATTTCTCTTCACATTTTGGAGTTTTATTCATATGATTCATGCAAATAGTAATGCACAATATTTCATGATATATTTGTAATATGTGGTTGTAATATTTCTTCTTTTAAGTTGGAGCCTAGGCATAGATTAAAGTATGCTTATTTCTAGTGTCCAGCTCGAAATACCAGTAATTTGGATTTTTCAGAGAAAAGTTCTCCCCAGAATCCTGCAGTGGCAGATGTTGTTATTCATCACTTCTGCAAAATCTGGGGCCCGTGTTGTTCATCAGGGCACCAATAAAATGAAGATACAGTTCATAGCAAGCAGTGGAAAATTTAAAGATGAATCATTTACCAGGAATTCTCTGAGAGATGGGATAAAATCAATTCTCTAGGTCCATGATTTCCAGCTCTCCTGACATTGCATTTCACCCTTTTGCCCATTCAGCGCTCTGCCCTATTCACTAAATACTTTCTAAATTCTTCAGCAAACAAGGCAGGAATACTAGAGACAATGACTCCCTTCTGTTAGTCAGCCTGACTAAAGCAGGTTTATCCTGTCTACTCTATGGGCTGGCAGTCCTGTTTATAGACAGTATGTAACCATGTTATAGGAGTGTCTTCTAATGTGCGTAGAAAAGTTAAGTGCGGTCAAAAAATTGTGACAATAGCAGTGAAGGGGAAAGTGTCAAATTCCTTGTGTACTTGAATGCTTTCCAGAGTGTCTCATGGCTGTTCTCTCTCTGCATTTAGACTGTGTGTCAGGCCCGTGTCCCTTTGGCGATGTTCATCTTTACCCACTGGGGCTACCTCGTCTTAACAGGACTTTCATCTGGGACGTGAAGGCGAGTACAAAGGCTGGACTTGAACTGAAATTTTCTACCCCGTGGCTAAGACAGATTGAACCAGGAGAGACGTGCCCGGATTTTGTGAGCTACAACATCAACAGCTGTATTGATGAGGCCACGGTCAACATTGGCACCTTCTGCAGGAATGGCTCGGTGTCTCGTGTCAAGCTGCTGGGAGGAGTGGTCATGTCTCTGCATCTCCCGTGGGACTCGCCTCTCACCACCTCAGGCTTCAACATAGCTAACAGGACTTCCATAAAACGTAAGTACGGAGTTGTGCTTCCTCACCTGTAATCACATTTTGTGGATTGTAGCAGAATTATTGAAACCTTTCTTCTCTGGTAAGCAGGACTTCCATAAAACGTAAGTACGGAGTCGTGCTTCCTCACCTGTAATCACCTTTTGTGGATTGCAGCAGAATTATCAAAACCTTTCTTCTCTGGTAACCTAGTTTTCTAACTCCCTTCCCCTTCATCAGGCTATTGTTGTATAGTTTTTAGTTTGGTAAGCTGGTGCTCTTCTGGGGACAAAATGTCTTAGTTTGATTCGTTAATAATTATGAAAACTGTGGTGTTCCTGCCTTTGGTGCACATTACTCACTTTCAATCTCTTTAAACTTCCTGAAACGTAAACATACCTTCTCTGTTTTTGTGTTTTCAGCTAGGTGAGACTAGACAGCATAATTAGAATGAGCCAAGAGAGTTATTTGCTGGTTGCAGTGTGTAGTTGGGTTGGTTTGTTTTTAAATAAGGCTTCTTTAACTACTGGGGCCTCAAACCTATGTGTCTCTTCCAGAGAGAAAGGTGGGAAAAGGGGAAGCAGTGCCTGGAAGGCACATGAGGCTGCTTAAATACAGCTATGTGTTTCAACTTGCACAGTAACATAAAACCTTGTGTAATAATCTTCTTAAAATACCTGGAATATTATATAGCAGTCAGTGGGTTACTCAGCGTTCTCATGACAAACCCTGTTTGGGAGATGTTCTTGCTGTGTACTTGAATTGTGCAGTTGTTGCCATTGGTTATAAAAGGAACCTGGTCCAGGTTCAAGCCTCTAGAACATGAGTTTTTGTAACTCCTGGCACTCATCGCAGTTGTACATCATTGCTTAGAGTCCTAGAGTGGGGCCATAATCTCCGTGTACCCAACTTCGTGCTGCCAAGAGTCGTCCAACCATAAAGGGTCTTACGCAGCCTCCATGGTTTGCACTCATGTTTTATCACACGTATTAAAGGCTCTTCGCTGGTGTGCTCTTGTTAGATCTGGGAGGTTTTTGGATGGAGAGCTCTGTGCTGGTATAAAAGCTCACATCTTTTGTTTCCCAGAACCCAGCGAAGCAGAAGCAGTTGTCAGGTTGTGTGTTTGCTCTTGCAAAGCCAGACCAGAAGTAAGAACTAGGATCTTTCGTTCCGAAAAGTAAAGGCCTCTCTGTTGATGTGCTTGAAAGGCGAAGCCACTGAACTGAAAATGCAGCATTAATGTATCACTTACCTTTTCTGTAATTGAAGACAAAAGCATCAATTCTGGATATGTTTTAGTTTGAGGGATTTGTAATAACCTAACCTGTAGCTGAAGTGGATGATCTCACTGTCAAAATAAAAATACTCTGGTACTGGGGTGTTAGATACGCCAGTATGCCTTCATTCATTGCAACTTGTTTTGTATGGTTTTTTCCCCCCTTGTTTTAGGGTTATGCATTATTGAATCCATTTTGAATGGGGAGTCTTCGATCACCCTGATGTCCCCAAACTACCCACTGGGCTTTCCAGAAGATGAGCTCATGACATGGCAGTTTGTAGTTCCTTCGAACATGAGAGCAAGCGTGTTTTTCCACAACTACAGCCTCTCCAACTGTGAAAGGAAAGAGGAGAGGGTGGAGTACTACATCCCTGGCTCTCTCAGCAACCCAGAGGTGTTCAAGCTGAGCGACAGCCAGCCTGCCAACATTGCTGGCAGTTTCAACCTGTCCCTGCAGGGCTGCGATCAGGATGTCCAGAACCCAGGCATCCTCCGCTTGCTCTTCCAAGTTGTCGTTCAGCACCCACAGGTCGATGAGAGTAAGTACCTACCTGCCCCTTCTGCTTTTGCTTACAGACAGCCAGGCTGAGCACCACAAAGAAGAGAAATGCTGGGTTTTTTTGTCATTTCTCTTGAACTTTGGACCCTCCTTGAGTTTAAGGGGGTGGGTTGCCAGCAATGCTGAGGCCTGTTTTACCACCCTGGCTACCATTGGTTGTTGTTCCAGCAAGGCGAACAATGATGCTGAAACTTGCAATGTGCAATGGAGTATAAAGCTCCGATGTAGATTTTGCACTGTAGCTTGTAAATGGAGATTCCTTTCCTTTTCAAGCACCTGTGTCATGTAATTAAAAACACCTTTAACACCTGCGGAATCAGGTCTTGCACATTGTATAAATAAAGCCAAGCACCAGCTAGCCTTTCCGTGTGTTCCATTTGAAGGCCCGATTCTGCTGTCGGGCAAGGACTGTAACTGCTTGATCGGAATTGTCTGGGCTCGTGTGTTGCTGCCCATTCTCCAGTATGGAAATCAAGTTCAAGCTTATTCAGACAGTTTTCTTTTCAGATGTAAGATTCAACATTTTAAAGACCATTCTTAAAATGTGAGCCCAGGTTTCTGTTCTGTACATAAGCAGTTGCAGTTAGCAAGGTGAAACCTGCTGTCATGGCTGGTAGCAAGATCCGCAGCATGAACCAATGAAATGAGATGTAGAATTGTCTCCATACTACTAAGGGCATCGATATGCATTTCTTTCCTTCCTTTCTTCCTTCCTCTGAGTGTTATTTTGCTTCCTAGAGAAACCTGAACATCATCTGTGTCTAGCGTGACTTCTTCACACTAGAAGTTGTCAGTAAGATACTCCACTAATAATATCCCCTACATATTTGCATGTTCTTGTAGGTTTCTTGTTGCTACACAAAGAAAATTCTTTTTTGTGTTTTCTTGCACCAAATCTAGACTGGCTTAACACAATGACTTGTAATACCAGAGTGTTTATCTAAAAACAGAAATAAAAGGCCTGGCTAGGTAATGAGCTATGGAGTTAGTGATTTTTCCTCTGGCTTCTTGGCTCTGACCTCAGCTCCTGGTGGATGTTGATAATCAAGGTGGTGCCCTCACTGCAGAGGATCCGGTGGAGGAAAGTCCACACTCTGGACTACCACTGCAGCAGGAGCTATGTTGAGGCTTTCTAAGTAATTTTAGAGGGAATAAAGTTGGAATGGCCTGTACCTTGAAGTCACATATCCAGAAAGGGTCGGTAGCATTTCATCATTGTAATTCTCAGTCCTTTTTCTGTCTAGCCTGGCTCCTTCATGAACAGCAAATCCTCCTGAAATTGTTGTTAAGTAAATCATGTTTGCTTACCTTTATTGTGTGTTGCATCTTGGAAGCTAGACAGAGTGAAAACGTTGTATTCAGTTAATCAGCTTTATCTCCCTTCTGCTTTGGAAAACAAAGAAGAATTTAAATATATTTACAGCCAGTAGACAAGACAATAATCATCTAAAAAATAAAAAAACAGGTTGTCATTTATTAAATTCAAGTAGTAAACCACTTGGATTTAAGAGACAACAGTGGTTTCTCTAGGGATTTTATAGGATTTCATGAGTGATCTTGTGTTATAAGTTCCATCAAAGATTCAAATTCAGCCCTCAGGACAGTAATGAAACTTTTATTTAAAATAAAAAAACCCAAACCAATAAATGCTATCTGCAGTGTGCAAGTTAAACATGGCTCTTATGCAGATATCAATACATTTTTAATATTCTCAAAGCTTCCCAAACATTTGGGTATTCCACAGGTGTCTGTGGTGCTTGTCATTAAATAAGGAAAATACAGCTTTTTCCAATTGAAATAACTTCTTGTTCTAACCCTCTCTGTGTGTAGCTTCTGCAAAAAAAAACATTCTGAAGAATGAGTAACCTTGCAGTAGAAATCCTAGGTTTTGTGCTTCCTTGTGCCAATGACTTGGAGAATTCCATCTGACCTCTTGCCTTTTTGTATGTCTGATTTCCCACACAGGAAAAAGCTATTTTATTCACCTTTTGTTTAAGAAGTTGAGATCCATAGCTAAAACCAGAAAATGAAGAGTAATAATAGTGTATGTATATATATTTATATTTTTTTAATCTGTCCTTTATAGAATCATAGAATCACAGAATGGTTTGAGTTGGAAAGGACCCTAAAGATCATCCAGTTCCAACCCTCCTGCCGTGGGCAGGGACACCTCCCACCAGACCAGGTTGCTTTCTTTGACGTCAGAGACATGTGCCTTGTTAACAGCACAAGGGTGCTGTGTGGATCCAGTAGCTGTCATTTCACGTGATAGCTAATCTTTGTGAACTAGACTGTAATCCAGAATCTTGGATTTTTTTCCTCTTTCGTTATCTTCCCCCTTCCAGATGTTCCAAGTATTTGCAACTGCCATTAGCTTATGTGGGAGAAGGTGTTTGTCATCCTTGCTTGCTCCCGTTGTTTCAACTTGCTGTAGCTGCCCAGATAGTACATGATGGAGGACAAGGCCTTGAAGCCAGTTGGTTAGGGAAACTCAGCAAAAAAATCATAACCCTTTCCCCTTTAATATGTCTATTTTTTATTGTGAAGAGGTGCTCTTATGGAGCACACCTAGACTCATGGAAGTAGGCCTCATAAGGGGGTTGTGATTTTTTTCATTTAGACTGGAGTAGATGTGGTTTCTATCAGTCCTCTAGGATCTCAAACTCGCAGGAATGGCTGAGCTTGGCAGGGACCTCTGGAGATAATCTAGTCCAACCCCTTGCTCAAGCAAGGCCAGCTAGAACAGGTTGCCTAGGACTGTGTCCAGATGGGTTTTAAGTATCTCCAAACTCTTCACAACTTCCTTGGACAGACTGTTCCAGTGTTTGACCAACGTTGCATTATTTTTTTTAATGTTTAAGCAGAATTTCTTGTATTTCAATTTCTGCCTCTTGCCCTGTCACTGTGCGTATTTGCAACTGCCATTAGCTTATGTGGGAGAAGGTGTTTGTCATCCTTGCTTGCTCCCGTTGTTTCACCTTGCTGTAGCTGCCCAGATAGTACATGATGGAGGACAAGGCCTTGAAGCCAGTTGGTTAGGGAAACTCAGCAAAAAAATCATAACCCTTTCCCCTTTAATATGTCTATTTTTTAAATATTGTGAAGAGGTGCTCTTATGGAGCACACCTAGACTCATGGAAGTAGGCCTCATAAGGGGGTTGTGATTTTTTTCATTTAGACTGGAGTAGATGTGGTTTCTATCAGTCCTCTAGGATCTCAAACTCGCAGGAATGGCTGAGCTTGGCAGGGACCTCTGGAGATAATCTAGTCCAACCCCTTGCTCAAGCAAGGCCAGCTAGAACAGGTTGCCTAGGACTGTGTCCAGATGGGTTTTAAGTATCTCCAAACTCTTCACAACTTCCTTGGACAGACTGTTCCAGTGTTTGACCAACGTTGCATTATTTTTTTTAATGTTTAAGCAGAATTTCTTGTATTTCAATTTCTGCCTCTTGCCCTGTCACTGTGCACCACTACGAGTCTGGCACCATATCATTTGCACACAGGTGCACACATCCCCCTGAGCTGCCTTCTTCAGGCTAAATGGTCCCAGCTCTCTCATTTTCTTCTCTTCTGAGAAGCCTGAAGCATCTTTGTGGCTCCTTGCTGGCTTTACTCCAGTACATCCATGCCTCTTGTACTGGGGAGCCCAGAACGTGACCCGACACTTGCAGATGTGCTTTAGCAGAGGGAGAGACTTGCCTCGCTCAACCTGCTGTCGATGCTTTCTACCACAACCTAGGAAGCTGTTGGCTACCTTTGCCACAGCGGAACGTTGCTGGCTCATTCCACTTGGTGTCCGCCAGGACCTCCAGGACTTTCTGCAAAGCTGCTTTCCAGCCCCACTCTTGCAAACTTGCGGAGGGTGCACTATCTCCCACTAGTGAAAATGTTAAGCAGCTTTGGCCTCAGTACATGCCTCCTTAAGCAGATCTTTGAGCTGAATAGCTCTGTTTGAGAGAGGGTACCAACGATGATGGTGACTGTGTGTGCCTGGGCACCTCGGGTCCAGCGAACTTGGAGGGCATTACAAGGTTTCCTGCAGCAGCTTGTGCATGGTGGGGTACAGGGTGAGGGATGGACTGCAAGGTGGCTAGTGTTGGGGAAGGTGCTCTTTACTTTTCAAGGTTAACTGCCAACTGTAAAGTTTGCTTTTTATACCTAGCTAGAAAATATTTCTGGAAGAACGCTTTTGAGCAATTAAATGGAAGGGAGGTGTGGTAGTTCAGTCATGCCATTGAAGGAAACCAAGCAGCCTAGCAAGGTGTGGTCCTCAGTCTTCCCACCAGTATCCTGACGGACTTTGATAAT